TTATTTTGTCCCAGAAGTGGTTGAGCTTTGGGAATAAGTGTGAACCCTCCTCGTCCTTTGGCACGATAGGTATGATATGCCTACAAATTCCTCTATTTAAAGTTAAGCAGTGCAACTCTTCTGCTTTGTCTCACCCTTGTTACTTGCACTTTAAGCTAACACTGTCACTAGTTGTAAATGTGGTTGTAGGGCAGTTCATATTCCACAGGAAATTGTTTACTGAACTGCTCAGTGCCCAGGCATAAGTGGATGATTTACAGATTGTGAGCCTGTTTTGTTTCTTCCTTGCTAGAATTTCGGGGCTTGGTATTTAAAACCAGAGTAATTTTAAGTACAGTATATGATTTGCCATAATGCACTTAGTAATGCATTAGTATGGACATTTTGGTTTTTAATTCTAAAGCATGATAAATATTTAAGCCCTTTGCTAAAATTTTTTAATTCTGCCGTTCTCTTAGAAGCACATGAGCAGTTGATAGGAGCCTGTATGAAGCACTGAATTAGTATTCCAGGGACTGAGGACTGATTTACACCATATGGGCGACTGGGGCTAAATATGTCAACACAGGTTGCTTTATGATTGATGTGCTAGCTTTAAAACAGGATGGAGAGTCTGTCTTGCACCAGGAGCTCATGCATCCAGTGTCTCAAAGAATGCCACTCTTGAGCCAAATGCATGCCTCCAGCAGGTCAGCAGAAATAAATGTAAATAATTATTTTAAAATACACTTAGGGGTTTATTCATGCTCAGAGTGCTTTTCACCTTTTGAACTTCCAGAATGCTGGGCTGTGCTGAATGGGTGCTGCCTTAAAGGGAAGGTGTAGGCTTGGAGCTGATTGCAGAACCCTGAGAGTTCATCTGGTGATAGGTGGTAAATTATTAATAGAAGTAAATGTTCAGGACTGAAATTCAGTTTGGTCTTTTATTACTGGTATCCTTATTTATTTGCATTGATAATGCCTGAAGGCTCCAATCAGAAATGGGCCTTGCAGGGGAGGACACGTAGTATTTTCTAGACAATCATATGTTACTAAGATTTCAGTAATTAGACTTGTTACTAGAACAGCTGTATCAGAATAAAGGCTGCTTGACTAGCTAGCTAAGCAGAGCAGAGGCAAGCCAAAAAAATGGGTGAAAAAGCAGCTGAATACTCAGTGGTCCACATGTGCTGATATTTAATAGCTGTATTAAAGTGCCATGGCTATTGCCATGCCATCAAGCAGCGGTAAAGGCGCAATGGACATCCCAGTGGAACTTCATTTCCTAGGCTCAGCTAGTGGCCAAGGGCACAGTGGGCATGGTGCCCGAGGGAGTGCAGAAACCTTTTCAGTTTGAACCCTTTCTCTCATAGAAATGGCTGTGTGTGCTTTTGTACTCTCAAAATAAAATTTTTGTGCTGCTGCGTGTACCAGACCTAGCTACTAGGTGCAATTTTGAACATAACTTCCACAAACTTGTAAGTCTGAAATGAATCCAAATGTTTCGTTAGATAATGAGACTGGCCAAAGAATGAAGATACTTTGATATGGAAACCACTCATCATCTTTATGTCTGTCTTTCTGATGGATAGTTTTTTTGTTAGCGTGAGAACAGACCCCCTTAATATTTTCCCTCCAAGGCAGTTCTTGGTTACCACCATTCTAGGTAAAAAAGCTAGCAGCACACTGCTACAGAGTGCCTGCTCTGTTGGTATTACCCTTGTAAAAGCTTCTTTGAAATGTTCAAACTTTTCTAATGTGTAGTTTTCATTTTGTACCTGAACGTGGTATCCAGGCTATCTCCCGGCTGTGTGAAGACAAATATAAAGACTTGTCAAAAGCTGCTATGAGACGATCTTTCAGTGCTGATAACTTAGTTGGTATCCGCCGTTCTAATGCCATCCTCTCCTGAGGAGAGAGAAAGGTGCAGCACCATGAGCCAGCGTCCGTATGAATCGGAGGAATACCACCACTCCATGCACGCAAGCCAGCGGTGATGGTGTCTTCCACCAACGAGGAGAGGAGGGTAAAACCAGCCGAGGGAGCCCAGAGCTCGAGGAGCATACTTGGTGCAAAAGGCAAGACCTTTGTCAAATCGACTTTTTCCTCCTCCTAATATATCCAGAAGTGCAAAAACAAACTTCTCTCCTTCTCCCTCACAGATGTTTGCTTACTATGTAGGCCTATAGCTGTGAACTCTTGAGGTTTTTAATAATTAGTTTTAAATTTTAGAATTTAAACACTAACCACATGACTATAGTTAAAATGTTCTTCCCTCCTCTCCCTTGTCATCCAGAGTCTCGCTGCATTTGTATTTCAGGTCAATGCAGTGTTAACAAAAACAAAACAAAACACGGGACTCTTAAAATATAAAGCCACTCTGGAGCTGAAAACAGTAGCATAAACAAGTGCTGACAGCTTTTCCCTGGTTTGGCTACTAAAAGCTGCTATTACTGGTGATCTGTGTATAACCAAGAAGCTGCCCAGCAGGAAGGAATGCCAGCTTTGCACCCCCGACTTCACTCCATTATGTTGTCAAAAGACTTTGAATATTTTGACTGGGGGCAGAGATATGGTTTTATGTATTGTTGAAATGTATAGGGTCCATGCTGCATTTCTTGTGAATTATGGTGCTTCTCTCATTTTTCTAATACTTACATTGCTCTGGAAGAGACGCAATCTGTGTATTTTTTTCTGAGGCATTGAATGAGAAAGTTGGTCTGGAAACATCATCACCATCCCAAACAGTGTAGCGATCCAGTGGTGAACGGCGTGTGTGCGGCACTGCTTCTCCGAGTGCTCCTGCAGATCTCTTGTGCTATATACAGTGGAGTTCCTGAAGCTGATATTGTGCATCCATCTGGCTCTCCTTGGGGTTTTGTTTCCTGGGAGGGATTTACATTCATAATGGAACAGTAACGAGTTTGAGAATCTTGGACTACCTGACAGGGTAGAATGAAAAATACTGTGTTCAACTGAGAATTATCAAAAAGCTTTCTATAAAGCCCATTTTTAAGTTTTCTCTTTTTTTGCGAAGTGAATTTTATTTTGTGCAACTGCTCTAGAGGCTTGGGTTTTGCTCTTTCTGAGACTTTGGAATGGAGCTTACTTTCAGGCTCTGAAACTGAACTCTAAACAGGATAAGTATTGTTAGACTCTTCCTGTTACAAGTCTTTGTAGTATCTTCCCTACTTGGATCCAAATAGATTCTAGGCGGTTCGTCCTAGGAGCAGATCTCCCTCCGAATGGCGTGGGGTTTGTGCACTTCCTCTTCCAGCCAAGGCCCAGAGACTTACACTGAATAGCAAGTCCGTGTGTCTTTGCGAGCGGGGCTGTCTGAGTGTAATCATCAGTTTGGCTGCACTCAGCCGTTAAAATGATTCATACGGTCTTTTGTGGTATGCAAACACGCCAGCCCCTGCCTCCCAGATCGATGGAACTTGGCACTTCAGGTATTGATCACAATTCAATTTTGAAAATAATGCTACATCTTCAGGTGGTTTTCCTTTCTCATATTTGTATTAAAAGAAAAGCTAATAAACTCTATTTTAATTACAGTTAAAGGTGAATTGTGTGTTCTGTACAGCTGTCTGATTTCATTCCCCTTTACAAGTATTTGGTGCTGTGCAGCTTCTCTCAAATACAAAAAAAAAGAAAAAAAAGAAAAATGCCTGGCTCCAGGCGTGACAGGGAGATAGAGCCCTGCGCAGCCGCCTGGCTGCTACCGTGGGGTGGCTGGGTGCAGGATTTGATTCACGCTGCACAGATAACTACTCACTGACATGTTCTTTGCACTTAAATGGCCTTAAAGTAGGGCCAGCCTCTCTAGAGGTGATGTGATGCTTTGTGAGCTCTCCCTTGAGGAGCACTAAATTGGAAGCTACAAGTGACCACCTCCTGGATTGACTTGTGACCTAATTGCTAATGAGCTTTTCTGTCCTTAGCATGGGCAGGTGCCTTCAGCTTTGTGGGATCTGTCTGGATGTGCTTGGCTGTAGGCAGGCAAATGCAGCCATTCAGCTGCGAGGTGCTCGGCAGAAGCTTGGGGCAATTGGTCACCTTTTTTGCCAAATGAAGTGGAGACTCTACCTGCTGATCTGGATGGCCGGTGACTGACAGCTGGAGCTGATGGCTGCTTCTGCAGGAGAACAGGAGACTGCTGCTCCAAACTCATGTTGCCTCAAACCTTAACTAGCCTTAGCTTTACCGTAGTCCAGCCCAGAGCACACTGTCAATAGGATTTTGATCTGGTCAGCAGACACTGAACAGGGCTCAACTGCAACTCGCCTTCTAGAGAGAGAAGAAATAGCAATTCCATTTAACATTCATTAAAGAGTTAGCTCCTGGAAAACAGCTTGTGCCTTTCTTAGGTAAACAATAACAAGTAAATCATCCAGCTCCCTTCTGAAGGGATGAGGTTGGGGTAGTTGTGCTGGAGGATGAACTGGGGCGGGGGGCATACTCTGTAATTTTCGCTACTCTTTATATGTTGGCAGCCCTTTTCTTGGAAAGGCCAAAGAAAGATTGCAATCTGAGGTAGACTACTGCAGTTACAGAGATGGTTACCTACCTCTGCTCCCAGGGGAGAGCGACCAGCTGCAGGGTCACTGTACCTTGCTTTTGTCAACCCAACAGCTGCACAGTATTTAACCTGTGCTGAGGTGATCTCTGCCCGCCTTCAGCTCCAGGGCAGCACTCCCCACCTGGCAGTACCTGCTGTTCACAGAGACAATAGCTGTGTTACGGCCCAGCGAGAAAAATGTGTGTGCCAACGAGAGTAGAGTCATGCAAGCATCGTGTGCCAGCGGGCAGCAGGGGCAGGAAGTCAGGGCTGTGTCTGGGGGCTATGTGATGCCCTGGGGCTTCAGCAGCCCCTTCCCTCTGTGTACGGGGACTGTGTATTTTGTTTCGAAGGGAATTTCATGAGAACTACTTCAGTGTGGGTTTGGCAGTTAAGAGGACAGGCACTTCAGGGATGGAATAAATGTCAAGACCATCGCTTCTGGATAAGAGTATGCGCGTCAAGCATAACCTGAGCAGGCAGAAGAAGAGCAATTGCGGCAAGAGCTTGCAGAGGGGGTTGGCAGGTGTGTGTGGGCCAGGGTGAGCTGGTGTGTTTGGAGCTCAGCACCGCGTGGGCTGCTGCTCCTCTCCTGCTCTGGTGTTTCCCACGGCACAATGGCGCAGTAGCGTTACGTAGGACTGACTTTCCATAAAGTTATCTAGGAGAAATACACTTGCAACAAAGAAGTTGTTTGAAAATATACAGTGAGTTACAGGGTGCTGCCAAAGTGACTGGAGTGCACTTAGTACCACCCCCCCCCC